GTAAAGGGGATAAAGAGGCAAAAACTTCAAATTGTAAAATAATTTGGTCACAGAATGGAAGTATAGCATAAGGAATATAACTCATAATATGTAATAAATTTCTATGATGACAAATGGTAACGACACTTATTATGGTGGGCATTTAGTAATGTATATAATTGATGAATCACTTATTCATCTGAAACCAATATAATAATGCATATAAACTACATTTCAATTTTTAAAATTCTTAGAATTAGTAAGAAGTGGCTGGATATGATATCAGTATTCAAAATTCAATTGCAGCTCTATGTATTCTTAATGAGTAAGTCTAAATAAATACTGCCTAACTTACAAGAGCAACAAAAATGACAAGGGAACCAGAAATAAATCTAACTTGTGTTAAACCTTTATAAGAAACTTATGTAACTTTATTAAATACACTTTTGAAAGACCTAATAAATGGAGAAGAATTCTATCTTAAGAATGTTAGTTGTTCCCAAATTAATCTACAGATTTCTAACAGAATCCTTACAGTTTTTCATGGAACTTGAAAGGCTGGTTTCTCAAATTTATATAGAAGAGCAAAAGGCCAAGGAAAGCTCAGATATTCCTGAAGAACAAGAGGCAAGAAGTAGCTTTTCTATGAGATATCAAAATGCAGAATAAAGCCACAGCGATTAAGATGGTGTGGAATTGGCAGGACATACACATAGAGGATTGGAATAGAACAGAAAGCCCAGAAACAGACATATACACATATAGACACTTGATATAGACCAAGTCCATGCTACAGATAACTGGAGAAAGGACAGAGTACTGACAAATAAATGATGCTGGGATATTTGAATACCATAGGAAAAGAGAAATACGTTAATGTGATACTTGTAAGCCAGTGATTTCCAAATCACTATTATTTTTAGCCTAATCTAATTCTCTTTGATAGAGATTCCTAACTCAGACCAGACACATAAACACAAGAATTTAAGGCCTAAGTATGAAAACAAAACATTATACTTTTATTTCCTACAGGAGGATGGTTTGTGAAATTGGAGTAGGAAAGCAATTCTTAAACAAGATTGTAAAGAAAGCAAAGATCATAATGGAAAAGATTGAGACATTCAATCAAATCAAAATCTTCTTTTCCTCAACAGACAGTAAAAAGGAATAAAATAAATTGGGGAAAGATATATGCAACACATATAATAAAAAAAAAACATATTACAAACCAATTTTTAAATAAGACAGACAATGTAATAGGATAAATGGGCCAAAGAGAACAACCATTGCAAAACTAGAGGGCACTGTTCCCAAGACCACCCTCCCTGCCAACACCAATCCCCAGCTTGAAGGGCTCCCAATACCACGCTCAGGTTTGATAATTCACCGAACGGATTCACAGACTCACTGAGAGCTGTTCTACTCACAGTTAGTTTATCACGAGCAAAGGATTAAAACCAACAGGTCTTTAAAAATCATTGGAAGATTAAAATGAGAAGGTAAAAAGCACCAAGGGCCGAGTCCACAAAGGACCAAATTCGGAGCTTCTGGTTGCCCACACCCTTGGCCTCAGGACAGTGTTACTTCCCCCAGCATGCTGACGACCACGTGTGTGGGGCACTGACAACCAGGGAAGCTCACTCAGGCCTTGGTGTCCAGAGGGCACCGCCCACGTGGCTGACCTCAGTGCCTTCCCTCCAGAGGCTATGCTCCTACCACATGCCTCAAAACTTCTATCACAAGTTATGTATTTTAAAAAATTGAATTTAGACACATAATATTGTGTAAATTTAAGGCATACAACATGTCACTTCGAAACGTGTGTGTTGCAATATGATTGCTGCTATAAGGGAATTTATCCCATTACATGATTATATTGTCTATATTCATGATACTGTTCATTACTGCTTGTGGCCGGTTTGCACCTTTAAACAGTATCAGTCTTATCCCTCCACTTCCCTGGTAACCACCATTTTACTTCTTTTTTTTTTAACAGACTTGAAGACAGGGAGCACGGGCTTAGACAGAGTAGGGTGAGGGCCTTTGGAAAAACAAAGAAAGATAACCCATTGTGGGATTTGCTTTCGCCTGCTACGGGGCCCAGCTTATTTTTCTGACTTTATCCAGGTGCTGCTTTTTTCCTCCAGCCCTAGTAAAGTGATTTGCAACCTGGCAATTAACAAGCAAGCTCAAACAAACAGGAAGGATTCTATCTTGGGTAAGATTGCATTAAAAAACCCAATTTGTTAAAAAGTAACTTTCTTAACATACTGTTTATTAGGCCATATGAATATCTCAAGCATATATTAGCTGATATGTCTTACAATATTTCAAAACTATTTTAAAACAGTGTGTCCTTATTAGCCCTGTAATAATATAAAACGGATGACTGCTTTTGTTAGAAAACATGCATTTCATAGAGTGATTAAAAAAATGAACCCTTCTTATCAGCCTGCCAGTTTAAGTATGTTAGTTGAGCATTAGGACTGTGTCATATCCTGGAAACATGGATAGTAGTGTAATTTGCACTCATGACTACATTTTAAGGAATAATAACAAGTATAATTTTGCCAGATGATACAATAGGAATATTACCAGAAACTTGTCTTATTCATGAAGAATCCTCACGATTGTTCACTTGTTACAAAATAAACCCCACAAGTCTGATTCCAGGTGTTCTGAGCTGAACAATGTGATAGTCACGTAGCCTCTGGGAGGCCAGTGTGAGTCCAGATGTTTCTTTCCTGGTTCATTTCATTCTTACAGTCCATTTGCTGTGCATCTTTTTAAAGCTTCCCGTGTAAACAATTTTACACTAATAACTAATATAATAAATGTGTCTCAGGCGTTCTCCCAACAAAATGAAAAATGTGACAGTGTTACCATTTGGCAGGATAACTAAAACTGGACAAGTCAGATTTTACCTCATTGGAAACTGAGTGTTTTAGTTGTGTTGAAAAGTTGTGCTTTGCAAGTGAATGAAGACCTGTGGAACAATTCATTTCGCAAATCTACACGTGGAATCTGCAGTTTTGTTCAGATGCAATGACATTACAGAAGAACAGAAATTCCCAATTTCTGCTCTCTGCCCCCCAAGCAGGCAGCTATGCTGAAGGTCGTGCTGATGTTGGAGCATCTCAGGGATCTGCAGTTTGCTGGGGAGGTTCCCATTTCTGAAGCAGGTCTTGGCAATGGGTCCCAAAGAATGGACGCAATTCTCTGTGAGAACCGTGTGCTGAGATTCTGTGGGATAGTGCGAGGTCTCCGTTTGCCCCTGAATGAGATTTCTGTGAAGCCACGTGAGGTCTTTGGGGGAGCTGTCTGGATGAGGTCTAAGTGAAGGCCTTCTGAGAAGGCTTTGAGAGGTTTGCGGACAGATCTTTGTGGGAAATCTCTGTGGAAAAGCTGCATGAGGTTTCTAAGGGTCCGTGATGCACCATGAGGGCCCTATGTGAGGTTTAAGTATCTGGGAGAAACGTGGCCTCTGTGGAAGGTGTCTGTGTGAGAGGTCTCTGTGGAGAACTGTCTCTGAGTGGTCTGCGTGGTCCCTGGGTGCATCCCACCTCTCCACTGCTGGCCAACCTGCATGTTGTGTAAGCCTGAGCAGAGAGGGCAGAGGGGCTTCGTCTTCCTGTTGCTGCTCTGTCACCATCGCCATCTGTGGTACGTCTCCCTCCTGGGTGCATGTGCAGCGCCCTCACATCCCGGAATTCGTCTGAGGGTGCAGCTGAGAGGGGCCCGCAGCCCCTAGACTCAGGGTCCCTGCTCTGTGACCCTCTGCTGAGCCCCCAACCAGGGGTGCTCTGCCCTGGGTCTCAAACTGGCCCCGCCCCTATACCCCAGATCCAGTCCCCTGCTGGGGTCCCCTGGAGGCTGCTCAGAAATCGGGGCCTGTAGTCAGTTCCTGGCTCCTGGGAGACACCAAGGCTGGAGCAGCCTGTGCCCCCTCGGCCTCTCCCCACCTGCTCCCAGAACCACATGTTGGGGTCCTGACAGGCCTGCGGGATGGGGCCCATTCTTTCTGTCATCTGGACCAGGCATCCCATCCCTGGAGCAGGTCTCAACCCTGGGAACACCTGGGAGCAGCCTGGCCCACTGGGCACCCCCTGGGTGACACAAAGCACAGGACCCGTGTAGAGCAACTGCTCTGCATCCCGCTGCTTTCCCATACGGTGAGGTCAGAGAGGGAAGCTGCGCTGGAGGCAGAGGGCCCCTCTTGGCCTGCACCCCTGCCCCCACCCTACCATGTGACAAATCCCATCTGATGGCTTGTCCTGCTGGAATTAGCAAGGACTGGGAGCCAGGCAAGCCACCTAGGTAACTGTAACTGTAGGCTGGTCTCCCAGCTTTGTAAGTCCCCACCTTTCCCTTGGGAGGAGCCCCTGTGCCATGCGTTTAGTGAAGGTCACAGACAAGGGTTCCATCCTGAGTTTTCTCAGTCCTGGGCCCCCCACCTATGTGTAACTCATCCTTTCTGGATTGAAGAGAATTCAAGAATTGATGGGCAAGCTTAGAATACACTGTGAAGGGATTAACTTGCTCTGATTTGCTTTCCTCCTAGAAGTCTGGCCCTCTGCCTGGGACCTAATGGTGGCTTCCCTAGGCCTGTGATTTCAGAGCTGGAGCAGGGTGGAGACCCGAGGGTGGGGCCAGGATGAGCCACTGAGCTCTTAACTTTTCCTTTAGGTCAGCAGATGGCGGTGGGACCCCAGGGGGCGCCGTGTTCTCTGCACATTCATGGGTATCTCCTTCCTGGAATCCAACCTTTTAAAATCTTCTCTCCCAGAGATTCACAGTGTACAGCTGTCAGATAATCACTACATGCTGTAGCTCCGGGGGGAAGCAGTGTTCCTGGGCCAGGACGAATGACCCAGGGTGACGGGAAGGCTACACTCAGCATCAACAGGAGAAACCCGCTCATTGGTCACAGTGGGGCCCGGCTCCGTTTGTCCCCTCGGGCTGCTGCTCTCACTCCCCTCTGGGGGGTCACTGTGCACTCACCTCTCCACCTTTCCCTTTCAGGAGAAGCTTTGCGGACGGATCCCTGGCAACTGACAGGTGCCAGACCAGTTACGCAACAGGAGGAGAGAACAGCCTCTCTCCACGCCTTAGCCCCAGAGTCCGCGAGATGCTGAGGGGTGCATGTAAAGAGACCAAGGCCAGGTGAGGGATTCTTGAAATACTGCAATTTTACCCCCCACACACTCAAGCCCCAGTTTAATTCATTCCAGAACTCCTTCTTTAGGACTATCAGGGGTAGGTAGGTGACCCCTGAGCACGGCCGTTCGTTCATTTGGGACAGGGGTGACCACGGCCCTGCAGCCTTCCTGATGCTCCATCCACCCACCCACCCCCGCCGTGCACCAGCTGACAGTGCCATCCTGGCTGATGCTGCTCCACAGTGTGGGAAAGACAGAGGTGGGGTGGGTGCATGTCCATTTCAGTGAGGCGACACCAGGTCAGGTTCACAGGGCCTCTCCCAATCCAGCCTTCATCAGAGGGAAAAGGGGCACTGCAGGGCAGGTGTCATCTGTTCCCCACTAAGAGACCCAGGTGCAAGATTTCTCCTGCTTCTGACCTCAGGACCCAGCACCCCCTCCCAGACTTCCACTGTCTTGGCTCTAATGCTTCCTGGACCCTGAGAGGAATGCCCAGCTTTGTAATGCCTCTGCACACCTGCCCTCCACAGCTGCCTGGAGTTCAAAGTGGCATGAAAGCAGACAAAATGCAGTGAAATAGACCCTGGAGGGTGGTGAGACCTCCGTAGGTTAGTTTTCTCATTTTCTGTTTTTTGTTGTTTGTGTAATGACAGTGCTATGAAAACAGGTGCAAGGAAGAGACCTGGGTAAGGGGCGGTCCTTCAGTGCCACACATCCCTCCATCCCCGCCCTCCTGGAAGCCAAAGGGTATTGTGAGTGCGGCACAGATAGAAGCCAATACACTACCTTTTTATGAGGGAAAAAAACATGTTTATTGGGGAGCATTAAATATGTTGGATGTGCTAATGAGAAAAAGTTTTCTCTACATGGACTGAATTTTTCTGGGAGACATTCACGAGGAAAGGTTGTAGCACTTTGTGGTTGCCTAGACTAGACACCTCTGCGAAGAAGACACTGCCGTGGGCAGTGTGGCTATTGGCCTGGGAAGAGTGGCACGGCTGGTCCACCCTGGCAGCGACTGACTGGAGGACACACAGTCTTCTTGTGGGACCAGGAGGCGGAGCTCCTCAGGTCCAGCTGCTCGTTGGATCTGACACTTTCCAAGGACTCTTGGTGTCTGACTTGCCTTTCCTGGACAGGACAAGTCTGGCCCTCCTGGGTGACTGGCTGGCCACAGGGTGCATGACTCATTTTCCCTGGCTCTGGGTAGCCAGGTTGCCCGTGGGAGTGGTAATACCCACATACTGGGGCTTGGAATTCCTGTTCCTGTTTATTTAACTTTGCGGTGTGATGTCCTCAGAGAACTGTCAGTTTCTCCTTTACAATCTGTCCAATCGCTCTCATTAGCACCTGAGCCTCAGCATCTGCGTTCTCCAACATGGGACCAGTGCACGAGACCCCTGTTTGTGTTCTCCATAGGCCCTCTCAGGACGGCACTGGGGCACCTAATAAGCCAAGTTGTCTTGGATGGGAGGCATGTGTGTGGGAGAATCTTGAGGATGGTTCTCTGACTACCTTCACTTTGGTCTTAACCTCACTAACAGCCTCTGTTTGGGGATATGGTTCTCCTGGGTACAGGAAAACAGTCTTTCTATGTAGTGGGGAACTTTCACTGGTCCCTGGAACTTCTGAAATCCCTGTATGCACATTTAAGTTCTGACATTTTGTTTCCAAGTTGCCTCTAAGACTGTGGGTGGCTGAAGAGCTGGGAACTCCTTGGCCTCCCTAGACTCTTCGGCCCTCAGACTGCGGCCGGGTTCACCTCCAGCGTTGTTACCTTACCGCAGGAGTCTTGTGAGGCCTGACCCCCACTGTCCTTTCTCAGCTCATCCCTGGCCATTACTGAACAGGAACTCAGCTCCGGGCCACCCCTCCGGGCCTGCTGTATAGTCCCATTCTGCCAGGTTCTGCCCATGACGTTCAGTGTGGGGCGCTGAAAAGGTGGCAGGCCCTCCTGTCCAATCGGACAGGATTTGGGGCATCTGGCCATCACCCGATGGGATCCCTTTCCAGACCTTTTCTGCACAAACATGAGGGGATAAGGGGAGGCCTCGCCGTGGTGGAAGCTAACTCCTTTATTTCCACCATCTCTCCTGGAAAGGCCTGAAGAGGTACTCCCGCAAAGTCAGTAAACAACTATCCCGAGAATGCCAGACACACAGGTGCCTGGGGTAGGGGGTAAGGTTGACTGCAGAATGGGCAAGGGTTGAGCCTTTTTCACTTTAAAGACAGTTGTGGCCTTAAGGACCTTAAGGAGTACACACCACCTGTGCTTCACCTGGAGCCTTGTGGTATGTGCTTCTAGCATGTCTCGAGGGTTTAGCTCAAGGAAGGGAGTCCCGTGGCAGGTGTTTACACAGGGTTTCAAGCCCTTTAAGAGACCTCGATTTCTGGTTTCTGAGTAAGTGTCCAACATGGGAAAAGCTCACCTGACAGCAAGCTGGATGTGTACATACTCACTGAGGTCAGACCTTCACCGGTCTTCCCCAACGTCCTTCTTGCATGGCTTTTCAGGGTGTTTTCAACACTCTTGTCTAATTCCCCTGGTAAATCACTTCCTGAGTCACTCCTTGGTTGCCTCAAGTCACTTTCTGACTCCTCTGAGCTCACCCCTTGCAACCTCATTAGGGGGCTTTCTGAGCCCCTGGAGAGATCTTCTGGGACCCACCCCATGAAGCCTGTCGGACCTGTGCCCAGGTCTTGCCTGAGCCGCAGTCCCACCTTCTGGTTATTCTTGCTGCTTTCACCTGTGTGTGTGATGGGCCTTCTATTTCCAAGGGCCATGCTTGCGCTGTGCCTGGTAACTCACCCTGGAGCCGCTTTAGTTCCACAGTCTCCTGGATCTTGCCAGGCAGCTCCCACTGGTGGCGAATGAACCGCTCTTGGAGGTGTTGCTCCAGTTTCTTCCGGATCTCAGGGCTGTTGGGCCATTTTTCAGGAAGCATAGCAGCGACCCTGCTGTCCTCAGGATGGGTGGAAGTAGGGACACTAAAGACTTCCTGAGGCTTTTTGACTCCAGAGGATAGAGCCCGCTGACTTTCTATTTGGTTCTGCAATGTGGGCCATTGTGGATGATGAACCTCAGTTGGGATGAGAGATTGTGGCTTATCTGGAAAGTAGGGCAAGGTACTCCACAGGTCCTAATGTAGTGTGCACAAGGTGGTAGGTTTGGGAGAGGGGATTGGAGGTAGGCTGGCCTACGGACATGAACCAGGACTGGTAACCCAAATTGAGGCATGCTTGGAATCAATGGTTGATATTGGAACTCCAGTTGGGACAGAGGCTGGGACTGGAAAGACGGTGGAGAAGTTTTGGCCTGCATTTGAACTGGGTAATAATTTGAGATTACATCGAATAAAAATGTGTAGACTGTAGTGCTGAAGGGCTCTCAGAGATGCAGGCAGTGGCCCCAAGGGATTCACTATGTAGGGCAGGGAGACCCCAGAAAAGCTGGTCATATGTCTGCTGTAGGTGGTCCTCTAAGACTTTGGGATCTGAGGGCTGCTGAGGACCAGGCAGCTGTTCTGGTTTGCCGTTTGTGCTGAAGGAGAGTTGGGGGTTTGTGGTGTCCTGCTCAGCACCCAGTGGTTTCAATGAGCTCCCCTAAGAATTCAGGTTGTAGGCTGAACCCATTTGTTTTGGATGTGATCTGTCCTTTTCTTTCTCCTTAATCTTGACTCTCTTTGTAATTTCTGTTTCCAAGGGATTCTGGTCATCACAGCTTAGCAAAGGGGGGGTACCAGCCACTACCTGTATGCCTGGGTCTCCCCAGAATGAGGCCACTGTTTGGGACCATACTTTGAGGAGGTGGAGAGGCTCCAGGCTTTGGCAGCTGTATCCCACCAGGACAGGTCCACAATGGGGAGACCAAGGCCTGAGATGACTGGAGCAGGAGAAGCTGCCCAAGCCTTGTGTGGAGATGGGCTCCGTGGGACAGCACCCAGTGGGAGTGCCACTGGGTCACACTGAGGAAGAGTCACATTGTAGTCTGGTGTGGGGGGAAGGCACAGGAGTCTGTCAGAGATGGAGGGCGGGACTCTAAATCACGGACATGGGGGTGAAGGGGAAGAAGCAGGTGGCTGGGGTGAAAGGCTGTCCAGGGGAAGGAAGAGCTCTGGGGGTTGAGAGGCACTCAGGGAGGGGTGTGCATGAACAACATGCGGAGGCCGGTGGGCCTGGTGAAGCAGTGGAGGCCAGGGGCAGAGGTTGCTTCAGCAGTGGAGTCTGGCAAGCTGAAGGGGACGTGGCAGGAGAAGCACTGCCTACAAGCTCCCTGCATGGCTGATGGGCTCCAGTAGTCTGTGCTTTGCATACGTCACCAGGGGGGTCTTGACATATATGATGAGAGCAGCCCTTGTCGGGGATCCTGCTCAGTTGGCTGAAGACAGGTGGGACAAGCTGCAGCCAGGAGCACACGGGGCCAGGAGGGCCAAGGCGGCCTGGTTGGTGTGGGTATCTGGGGCCCCTGGCTCTCCACAGCCCCCAGACTGACTTCCTGGTGCTCCTGCTGTCCCACACCCCAGGACTGTACCCACACCTGTCCCTGTGGCTGCCCCTCCGAAGTCAGCCCCAGGCTGCTGCAGCCCTGGAGTCCCACTACAGGCTCTGGGAGGAAGGACCCAAGAGAGAAGGGTGAGCTTCATTACATCTCTAGATGTGACATCAGGCTGCTTGTCATTTCCAGTTCTTGCAGGCAACGTCCGTAACCTGGAAAGTGGAAGACATGGTCATGGTGGGGAAGGCAGGGACCTAGTGGTCTTTTTGGAGCCTGAGGGCCATGTCGCTTTAGGCGAGACTTTCCGAGCTTAGAGTCTGGAGCCCAAGCCTCGGAGTCCAAGGCCGCAGGATCCCTGACGGCAACAGCAAGACTCATGAAGGGGAACGCTTTAGCATTTGCAAGGTACTTCTACATCCCTTAACCTCTGTGACCCTCACAGCCACCCCCAGAACCACCCTTTGTGGGGGACAGGGCAGGGCCACCTTAGAGAGGCTCCTGAGGGAAGTTTAACACATTGGTGATGTTAATAACCCAGAGAGTGAAGCTGCATCTCAGCCGAGTAGTTGAAACATATTCTAGAAGTGTAAGTGTATTGTTGTGCCCCGTTTCCTTGAGTCCCCCGTGTAGAGCCGCAGTCACCAGCCTCAGTCGCGAGATGTAAGAGCAAAACAGGTCTTTATTGCTAGTTCGAACTAGGGTCTCCGTTGACGCGGTCCAGCCACGCCTAGTCGAGAAGGTCCTGAAGTGCAGAAGGGGGGCGAAGAAAAGAAAGAAAGAGCTGACGCTCCCACACGTCGCCAGCCAGCACCCCAGCTGCATCCCTCTGTCGCTCCTAGTTGGACTTGAACTCACAACTCTGAGAGTAAGAGTCTCATGCTTTACCGACTGAGCTAGCTGGGCAGATGGGGAGGGCTGATGCTCCTTCGTGTCGCCAGCCCCTAGCCCTCTTGCTTGCCTCAGCTGCTCCAGTTCGGCTTGAACTCATGACTCTGAGATTAAGAGTCCCGTGCTCTACCAACTGAGCTACAGCAGGGTTCCAGTTAGTTGCTCATGGAATGCGTAAACAGAATGTTCTTTGTTCTCCATTCCCGCCACATCGGCAAGTGGGGGAAGGGCATACCCCGCTCCCCACACTCAGTGGCCTGTCAAAACACAGGACTCGGTCTGAGACCCTGAACAAAGTTCCCTTTTTGCTTTTATACTGTAGCAAAAAACAGGTAGGGGCTTTCCAAGGGGGGTGGTTTATTGTGACCTTAGCTGATTGGCTGAGGAGGGTTGCTGGGCAAGGTTTCCGTGGGAATGGGCTTGACTTGAGCGGGGAAACTTCTTACCCAAGATGGAGGGACATAGTTATTCAAAATGGAAGACACGAAGTGGAGGCAGGGATCATGTAGGGGCACACCTATTCAAGATGGTGGACACAAAATGGAGTCAGGGGTCCCGCATTCCCCCCTTTTCTTTTGTGTCTGGGTTTTCTTGTCCCACTATGGGAATGTGCTCTCCAGCCATTGGGCCTGTATATTCCTGGAGCTCAGCCATCCATGAATTCAGCTGCTGCTCATCTCCCACCTCAAAGATGATGTCTGTCCGATCCTTCACTTTCAGCACAAAGGTGTACAAGTTGTCGGGTATCTCCAGGCTTGTGTATCGCTGGACCTCCTGGATGCTAGAGCAGGCTGCTTGTAACTTGGGCTTTGAACTCTTGGGCGGGCCGAAGAGCTCCAGCACGCGGGCTGTGTCCTTGGGGCCCCGGGCGCCCTGCAGTGCCAGCCGGCCCCGCTGCCAGTGCGCACCGCTGTCCATGGAGGCCTCATTGGCCAGGCTGTAGTGCAGCATCGCCTGCTTGAGGGCCTCGTGAGGCGGCTCCCATGCCAGTCTCCAGGGCAGGCCCTTCTGGGCCAGGCCGGGCTGGGCCGGTGCCTCCCGGCATCCCCAGAGTCGGGCAGCTCCCCGGCCGAGCTGCGGCGGAGGATGTGTTGGAGGCTGTGGCGCAGGAGCTGGAGGGAGCAGGCGAGCGGCTGCGGCAGGGCCAGCTCCTCCGAGGTTCGGGCCTTCGGCAGAGCAGGGATGGTGGCGCCTGCCCCTGACTCAACCGGGGGCATCTCGGCCTCTAAATCAAGAGCACTAGGATAGGGGGCCGACTCTGAGAGGACCTTGGAGCCTGCCGACTTCTTGTCTGAGGTGGTTGCTATCATGGCTTCGGCTGCTGGGGGTGGCGGCCCCGGGGGGTAGGTGCCGTGGGAGTGGGTGGAAAGAGAAAAGGTGTTGGCCAGCGAGGAGGGTTCTTAACAAGGTACTGCCAGGTGAGTATGTAGGGGGCCTGGTTGGGATGGCCTCCGGGCCCTGGGTCCATGACTCTGTCTGGAACCGCCTGAATCACAGAGAGGGCGAAAGATCCCTCTCGGGGCCATCCCACACTGAAGGCGGGCCATAGTGGAGGCAGGGGGTCATGTAGGGGACACAGCTATTCAAGATGGCAGACACAAAATGGAGGCAGGGGTCCCACAGTATCCTCTTCCATAGTTTGAATCTTACTGCTGCCCTCACGCAACTGACCTCTGAGCATGTTCTTGGGCACAGCACAGCAGGCCCGCATCACAGAGGGTGGCCTGACCACAAAGGGCTCCTGAGGGTGGGGGAGGGGACAGAGGAGGAGCAGGCTGTACCACAGCCCCTCCCCCACTGCCCAGTCCCACAGGGCTCTGCACCTTCCTGGGCCTTCTGGGTCCTTCTTTCCAACCCTATTCACTTTGCCAGAGAGATGATTTTTCCATTCATCCTGACATTATCTGGTTCCCATTGTCCTTTAGAGATCTTGACTAGAGGCCCACCAATTTCATAAACCTTGAAATTATTAAGTTGAGCCTGGAATTTTAGCTGTTTCCCAAGGATTTTTGCTCAGGATTTCCTCTGTTCAGCTTCCCCACATAATGTTTATGTCTCGTATAAACCAAGGCACAGAACTTAAATTTATTTTACACTTACTTAGATTTGTGAATTTCCACCAAATGATAGTCCTCACTTTCTGTATAAGTTTCAATCATGTTGTCTTAGCCAGTGGGGCTGCCATCACAACATGCCACAGGCCGGATAGATTAAAAACAACAGAAATGTACTTCTCACAGCTCTGGAGGCAGGAAAGTCCAAGATGAAGGCCCCGTTATGGCCACGTCTAGTGCTGGTCCTCTTTCTGGTCCTCCTCCCAGAGGCTTCTCACTGTGTTCCCTGTGGGAGGGGGTTAGGGACCTCCCGGAGCCTCTTTTATAAGGCCCTCATCCCCTGAATAAGGGCTGAGAATCACCTGCCCATGGCCCCACATCTTAACATCTTGAGGAGTTAGGATTTCAACCTGTGAATCCTGGGAGGACACAGACATTCAGACACGCACATGTGCAGAAGCCAGGAATGGGTGAGGGTGAGCTCAGGGTACTGGGTGAGCACTGACCCTTAAGGTCTGCAGGGTAGAGGATGAGACTAGGAGTCAAACCTTAGGGCTGAGTCAGGTCTAGAGCAGTCTCATCAGACATCCCTAGGGTGCATATTTTTTTCTGCGTGAGCCTTGCTTCCCTTCCCCTCCCCTCCATACCACTGGAGCCTCAAGGCCAACCTGAACCAGAGAGAGGGAGCTTCGAGTCGTCTATGTATTCACTTATGATACCATCGTATGTCCTCTCTGCGGCAGTAAGTCAGGATTCACGTGGTGAATGTGTCTTGATGCTCCATGTGGACTTAATGTGTATCCCCAGCAAAGTGGTC